ATCTCTTTTACACTTACCTCGCAATTAGCAGATCTGAAACTGTTAAAACCCCAGGCTGGCTCACCAACACTGCTAGACACCACGCCACCAACAAGCCTCTTCCAGATTTCTGCAGCCGCTGCTCTTCCCTCTCCCTCTGCACAGCAGGTTGCTTTTCAAAAACCAATTCTTTGTATGCAAAATACCGCTGCCAGCTTATTCACGAGCAGCACCAAAGGGTGTCACCTGCATCTTATCTTCTGCAGCTTCCCTGTGCGTTTGAAGGTTATTTATTCCTATGGCAAGTACCTGCAGTCCCTAGCCAAGGTCCTGAATGAATGCACATTCTCGAGCAGCCTGGCACCGATACACAGAAACTGAACAAAAAGGCAGAGGATGAAAGGAGAAAAACAGAGGTGCGAGGTCAACAGCAAAGCCTCGGACAAAGCCCAGCTCTCTTGGGTCAGGCACAAGGGCCTTTATCAGCACCACACTCCTTGGCCTTGTGAATCAAAGGACTCTCTGGACTGTGTGCCTTACTTGGGGAATTGACTTGTTTCTGTGCTCCATCCTGCTGCTATTCGCGCCTCGCTGACCTCTTCCTATCCCTCATCTCAAAACGAGCTCAATTCTCATGGTACTAAAGCCCTCTTCCCTCTACCCAATTTCCTTCTACAAGGTGAGTTACCTCTCATCTCTTACAGCTAGATCTTTCAGAAGGTACTGCTAGAATCTTCCAGGAGGCCTTGCATTTCTCCATTTCCCTCCCAGCAATTTTATTTTAACACTGCAGCTTAATTCCATATTGAACATCGGAATAGTTTATGACAGAGTTAATAAAACAAATATTCACAATGAAACCTGTAAGCAATATTTGAAAGCTTATGGAAGGTTTCAGACACCTTAGCAGTGCCTGCATGTCTGAGAACCAGTGTTCAGGAACAGTCCTGCCTGGACCAGTCACAGAAGGTCCCTGAAACTCTCAGCCCTGTACCAACAAACCTTCCCCAGGTTTGGGAAGGAGCACATGTGCTGCTGCCATACCTCATCCTATTTTCCTGTTGATCTACCCCTGCCTCCTGGAGTACCTGAGAGCCTTTTGGAGCAGGCTGTGGATGGTGATGTGTTATTTCCTGCGACACCACTGGGATCTCTTCTCTGAAACCACATGCTAGGGGTCATCGGCAAACTTACCACTGCAGATGCAAGACAAATTCCTCCAGGGACAGGGGCCTTGCAGCCCCCTGGGCAAGCAGAAGTGTCAGACATCACCAGTCTGCTTCACCAGCCCTGCCATGTATTTTTTTTTTAAATCATGCATAAAGCTTGAGTCAGACCCCTTTCACATTCCAGCACGAGCACAAGGATTTTTCAAAGAGCTTTCTCCTGTTTTTTTTCTAGACTCATGACTACAACACAACTCATTTCCCCAGTATGATGAAAAACCACCAGTTCACGATAGGAAAAGCACCAAGGCAACAGTGAGACAAGGTCTCAAAGGTGTGCCAGCATCAGGGAGACCTCAGTGGCAATGACCACACCTGCACCGTGCACGATGAGGCTCCAGCGGCCAGACCTGCCACCCACAGGGTTTCTACAGTCACACATTTGAAAAAGGTTCCTACCTTTGCAGCTATTTTTCTGAAAAACAAAAGTTGAGAGAAAGTAAACTAGAACTAATCACAATTTGTAACAGATTTGAAATGAGAGAATTTAATCCTTGCAGATTCATAATCTTATGAAGCTCATCTTTCAGGGAACAATTCTAAAAGCTATACAGGATCTATACCTTCATTTCCTGTTTTACAGATTCGGCTGGCCGGCTGCTTCAACGCAGATCTGCTGTATAATAGACATTGAAACACTAAGGGGAAAAAAAGTGATGAGTAATTTTACTGAGCTACATTTTACAATCTCATTTTGTTAGCATCAAGCAAACAGATACCCATGCTCACAACCTATACAGCTAACAGCAACTTAGTGTAAAATATAATTTTGCATGACCTAATTACAAAGCTGTTTGCACAGATTAACTCAAATATATGATCTTCACAACTACAATGCTTGTCTTACTTTGTAAGCTTTTAACACCATTATCTTTCATGCTACCATCTGACAACACTTGCTGCTGCTGTTATATTAACTAGAAGCACTGCTATTTATTTTTGGGGAGCATATCCAGTCACCTTTATTTGTCTTCATATCCTCAGGAAGAAAGCAAAGGTGGGAAGTCTCAGCTTAATAGTATTGCCCGACCTAATCCTAAATACTAGGAATAGCCACGCGGATAAAGCCAACCTTACCTGCTTCAGAGAAAGTCTGTGTACATAAGAAAACCTGCAGGTTTTTAAAGCTTTTAAAAACATTTTTCTTGGCCTTTAGTTGCAAAATGCAGTTCAGCTGATGCCACCAAGCAGAGCCACAGAACACAGACAGGTGTTGGTGTAAGCACTTCAAATGCAGCAACCCCTGTTTAGGCAGGACCTCCACGTGGACTCTGCCTTGCACAAAGTCACGCTTGGACAGGAACTTTTAAGGCTTTTTCTTTAGTTCTGGTTACTTCTCAACAGTTCTTTGCAGGGACTGGACAGCAATATTCACTACCGCGTAGACAGTGATAATAAGACTGCCCAAGTGTTTCCATCAAGCACATACGGCTGTCTTTCAAAGTGACAACACGCTTCTCCTTGCGCAGTAATTACCAAGACATGCCTTTGCTGCTGGGCAAAGCTGAGTATATCACTGCCAGCTACTGCCTCTGGGAACAAACCAGAACCTTTCACAGATCATCGCTGCTGTTCCCAGGACAGGACCGTGACTCTGCTCGCTGCTTCCCCACCACACACCTGCCTAAACCGCACTAGGATGCGTGCATCCCCCACAGAAACACACACATGCATTGTGTATGCCCCACATATCCGCGGTACAGGCAGGGTTACCTAACGGACAACGGGCCTAACACCGCAATTAAGATTGTTTTGAGAGAGGTTTATTCCAGCTGTCTTACAGAAGATATACTTTGCACTTACTGCTTTCTTCCTCTGCTGTTCCCCTCTGCAAAAGAACACTTCTCATACTGTCGGCACAATCAATACGGCTGGTTATAGACTTACATAAACACAAGTGCCCAGGTTTCGAGGAATTGCACCCAGCAATATCATAAGCTTCTGTCTGCCCCCCAGGAGACAGACCAACTTAATATTGGGATTCAGCACAGGGAATGAAGCTAGGGAAGCTTCTCTTCCACATTAGAGAGTCTTAAAGGCAACAGCAGCTACAAACAGCCCACTCAGCCGTCTTTGCCAGGAGGAGACGCAAACCCTGGCCCACAATTCGGGCTGAAACTGTGAGGAGCAGTCACCCTTTTGTCGGGTGCAGAGGCCAGCACCGAGCTGCCATACAAGCAGGTTTTAAAACACTTGTGGAGTCCCTAACAGCAGTGCTGTCCTGAGGGCAATCTGCAGATTGGAGCTTCTCTTACCCCACGTCCTCTTTGGGGAAGGAAGGGGAAAAAATCCCAGCTCCTGAGGCACCCACACACCCCACAGACACACATGGAGATGGCATGGGGAGCCCCAGCCACCATCACCACCCCTGGGGATCCCAGGGAAAGAACAGGGGACACTACACCCACAGTGTTGCACTGCGCAGTGCTACTGAACAGAGGGCAGGAGTATCTTTTAAAAGCCTTTTCTGTCTTCCCTATTAACTTCCTCCACATTCTCCCCTATCCTACAGCCTTCATTGAGGGTAAAATCTCCTTGGTAATTCCCAGGAAAGGCATTTTCTGGCATTTTCTGTTGTCACCTTTGCTTTCTAAACACACATCTGCATTCTTAACCCCTGCTCTGCTTGTCCCTGGACGGCCTGCAGAGCAGAGGGAAGCCACCTCCTCACAAAACCCAACCTGACATCATCTCCTGCAGTACAATCAGCTGAGTTCATTTCTGTAACATCAGCTGATATACAGGCACAGTCCTGGAAATTAAAGTCTCCTGTCTCAATCTACAAGAAGTTTCATTTATTTTGACTTGGAGCAACTGGAACAGCTATGTTTTATCTCCAGAAGCTCTTGAATACCCTAGCAAACACGTAGTAAAATAACTCATTTTATTTGCTAAAGTTGTTAAAGCCTAGCAGATTGATCCATTAAGGGTCTTCTGCAGACACTTCACATCATGCTCACGTGAATTGTTTCTTCTCTTAAGAAAAGGTTCCTATGGATGTCTTAAGCCACCTTGTGAACGAGCAACACCCATCCCTGAATTAATTGAATTACCTACTCTTTAAACTGAGACTGCAGTTGATAATACTACTCTGGGCTACGATATCCCAAGCATCCAAGTGATTTTTCACTTCTATACAGACCATAAGAGGTGCCAGAATGAACACACAGAAATTAGCCTACACAGAGAGCAAACAAGCCTGGTACGTAGGAAACACCATTAAAAAAAATCCCAGAAAGACACGGGGCTGCGCCAAAACTTTTGCTGCCTGCAACCCCCTGTGGTAATAACGCAGCCTCCAATTTCACTGAACTTTGACAAAGCCATGCGCCGTTCGCCCTGAGCCCGCCAGCTAACCATAGCCTGTTACAACCCCGGTTCTGGCACTAAGAACAACAGGGAACATGCTTCCGTCTCATTAAATCCTACACATTCATGAGGAGCACAGGTTATTGGAAAACTTGCTGGTCTCTGCATCTCAGGAAAGATTAGCAATTTTCAAAGTTTCATTCGGTGATGGAGCTTGCTGTGGCATATATAACGAGTTTAACAAGCACCTTCTATACCCAGCTTCTAGCTTTTTTCCCCGTAAACTTACATCTCTCCTCCCTGCACTGTGTCCAAGAGGCACAGCTGAGGTCCAGATCTCCTGCACTGGGCAACATTTAATCACTCTCTAGCCGTAAGATGCTACAGTGACTGCGAAAGAAGAAAACAAGAATCAACATATGAAACATTAATATTTTCAAATCCATCCTGGAATCCAAACAGCGTAACTATTTGATACAGGTTGAATCTTTACAATACTGTTCCCCTGGGAAGTAACTACCATCTCCAGGAACTCTTCAATAACAAAGATTTCATTTGAGAAATTTGACATTAACACATTTAATACTTGTTAGGGAGAAGCAAGAAGTACCTGCATTATCTGGCTTCTGTCACAACACTAGCTGTCTTTTTTTTTGTATGAACCAAGAAATGGCCTAAGATCACCCTGAATGTGTGTCCTGCTTTAAAGCATTGTGAAGTGAATGCAAAAGTCCTTCAGACAATTATGGCACTTCCTTTCAATGCCTGCCTTCCTGAGGCTTGAAAAAGGACACTTCATTAAAGCATCTGGCTGAGAGTGGCTCTAGTTTAAGTTTAACAAAGGCATGAAGCTAAACCAGGGTTTTTAGACAAAGGGTATCTCTTTAAAAAGAGGTTCTTTGCAGGTGTTTGAAACACTTTTTAAACTGCTATCTGAGTTTTAATGAGCAGCTACAAGAGTGTTATTTGCCAAGTTACAAGCCCAAATGCAATTTATTTTTTTTTAAGCAGACTGACCACTAACAAAAAAGCCCGTGCATAATCTACTGAAATGGCAAAAACATCTCATTTTTGGAAGTTGGTGGCCTAAACTGGCTATTCACCAACACCACCACCATAAGACACAATGCCTTTTTGGAGTACAACATATTTGTTCGTGTATGTTCTCTAAGACATGCAGCAAGGAGAGCACATCCATGTGCCAAAGGCCAGCAGCAAATAAAGCCTGTAAGGTCTGACCCAGAAACTGGTGAAGCACTACTGACATCTAGTGCTACACAGCTGTTTGTTACCATTAATCCGGTGCTCTGCAAAAGCAGCTAGTCCAGTTTCAGCCCCAAAATTAAGTCAAAACTAGATCTGAGATAATGACAGAAGGAAATATAAAGATATTTTTTTTAAGAACCAAAGGCCAGTACTTTTTTTTTCCCCTCCTCCCTCTCCTTTACCTCCATCTTAGCACAGACCAGAGGCCACATCTCATATTCGCACACTGTGAAGGCAGGATAGTGCCCACTAATATCGGGAAAGGTTTGCTTCTGTGATACCCTGACTCACATGACAGTGTTTGAGCATGACAGGTCAGGTGGACAGCAGCTGCTCCCAGCCTTTCACCCTAATTTTACCTGAGCTTGACCATCTTCAGTCTCATGTTAGAAGCAATAGCCAGGGAGAAAAGGGTCTGGAAGTGCAGTCAAAGCCTCACCAGGGATCATCAGTAGGAATTGAGCCCTTGACCTGCTCAAGTTAATGGCATCGCTCCCACTGTGGCAGCTGGGTAGAGTTTCACTCCAGGACGTCAAACTAGATTTGCATTTGGATAAAGGCTAGCTTTGCTGACAGGATATGATGTGATAAGCTCCAGGCTCAACCTTTTTGACATCTTCATTTTTATAACAAGAAAAAAAAAAAAAAAAACAATCACTACCACCAACTGCCTCCTCCCCCAGAAAAGAAAAACCCTTGCACATGTAAAAGCCCTTCATGTAATACTTTTTTTTTTTTTTTTTTTTTCAGAATCTTGCATCTCCAGCATCCTTGCTAGCCCTGCTCCTGCTTGCTGTGCAGTGGGGTAACAGTCAGTGGCTTAAAAGCAGCGAACTATAGCTGTCCTTATGCCACCATCACGGCTGCATTTCCAGAACAACTCAAAGCCTTGAAAACTTGTTTGCCTTAGAAGGAACTTGGGTCTGACTCGGTTCCCCCACCCAAACAAGTTCTCTTCCATCAAGCTACTGAATAAGCAATCATTTTTGCAGGTGTATCATTTGGCCCACAGTGACTCATAGGAGACATTGCTATTCCTCCTACAGGTTTTACATTGCTGCACATCACATATGTGAGACCAGACTGCTGTCTGGGAGCTTCTTTTCCATTTTTTACATTAGAACTGTCACATATGCCACAACTAGACATGTGTCAGAGTGACACTTGCTCAAATGGAGCAGACTGAAAATACAAGAAGCCACCTTTTCCCAAAGATAGCACATGCAGGCAACCCACAGGGGGAGCAGGAGGGGGTATAAAGATGGTAGGTACAGTCTCACTGCCCAAAGGACAGCGAAGCCACAGCTTCCCTTCAGCAGCCGCCAGCGCTTACCTGCCATGCTGGCCTCTGCGTGCCTTCATCTGGTTCCAGGACTGCTTCACACATCCTCAACTTCTGCAGACCTAGGGGTGCAAGACAACCCAAAGACTATGTATTTAGAAGCGTATGTTGCCTTCCCCCTCATTAGCTGAGGAGGAAATGAAGTTTTCTGTCACGTAGGCTGCACACACAGCATACAATACGCTATATCACATACAAAATGGCGGCTGCTGCTCCCACAGACCTCTCCAGTACCTCAGTGGACATCCCGACACCCGAGGCCAAACACCCTGGGTGGTATCCCAGATGACCCACATTCCTCCCTTTTGTCTCCCCACCCTCAATTATTTTTCCACACAAGAACATGCTTCAGAGGCAGCGAGTGCTTTCAAAGCAGTAAAATCGGGTTTACCCACCTGGACAGCGACAGGCACCAAAGGCTCCCTCATGGCCAGGGGCTCTCCTCAGGGTAGCCCAGGCCCATCTCACCGCCCCCCAGGGAGCAGGGCGGCTACACCATGAGGTTAAAGATAAAATAACATAAATCTGCGCTTGTTTTGGGGGGTAAATAGGGCATTAACATGCAACGAGGCGGTAATGGCTGCCAGCGCCGGTGATGGCCGCCATCAACAGTGCCTTGCTCTCCTCAGGGCGCAAAACTGCCTCCAAACAGGTGTTTTCCCTCAAAAAAAACAGCAGCATATTTTACCGAAAAGCTTTTTAGTGAAAACAACTGGTAGTTCACCAGAAGAAATAGCGCGTTTCTTACCACGAGGTTTTCTGTCGGTATTTCTGACCTGGCTCCCCTCAGAAACACGAGTGCAGAGCAGGAGGCGGCAAATCCCGCCCAGCCGCCCTCAGCTGAGGAAGCCACACGAACCCCAGCTCAGCCTCCGACCTGGTGAGGGCTTAAACTGTGTGTTTTGTTGTCATTTTTCATTTTCTCCTCCTTTCTTTTCTCCCGTTTGAGGTTGTATGGCTTCTCAGCAGGCCCTCTTCAGAGATTTGTCAACGCTTCAACAATTAAGTCCTTCCAATTTAGAGACATCACACGGAAGAGTGCTGCGTTTTGTTGGCTTTGTCTTTAAACAAAGATCTCAGGGGGCTGGGTCTCAATTTACCCATCCTGTCACATAATCGGCCTCTTAAAGACAGCAATAATACTTCAAAGACCTGAAAAGCCTTTACCAAAAAGAAAATATATAAATCCAGAAAACACTCCTGCAGCCTATAATTTGTAGTCTTACCTAATTTACTGTTTCTCTATTCCAGAAAGAGCCGGTATTTAGCACAGAAGACTGAGCTGGCCTTCAGCGCTGATGAAAACCTCTTGAACATGACTAGCAGAGGCAGGGGTGAGTACAGCTCGCAAAGACTCACTTCACTAACAACATCTGAGGCTTATAAAAAGCAGGGGTAAATCAAGCAGTTCCCTTTCACATCGCTCACCAATACATCTACCTTCACACGCCCAACACCGCCTCTTTAAAGCTCAAGTTTTGCTTCAAGGAAAAGTGGTAAAGCTGTGCTGAGGCACAGCTCCCTCCACAGGGCTTCTGCTGCTGGAGCCTCTGGGGGAGCCCTGCTGCAAGCAGCGCTCCCCTCAACCTCTCATCAGGAAGGAGAAGCTTTCCCAAGCAATTCCCAGCTTTACTGATCCCTTACTCACTTCATGTATTTCATGCCCAAAGCAGACGCTGGCTCCTTCAGACTCCCTCGAACAGGAAGCAGCAGGGAGCAAAGCAGCGACCTCTATTTCTCATGGGAGGACCCATGTCAGCATCTCACCTCTTCACCACCCCAATCCCCACAGACTTATGAGTGGATTTTAAGGAGAAATACCAGTGCATAAGCTGACTGTTTAAAAAAAAAAAAAAAAAGTTAAGAATCAATCACCATGATATTTCTAAGTCCATCACAAAAGCAAACAGAAAATTGTATTTCTCACAAGATGAGAAATAATAATATGAAATAGAAGAGACAATATTCTGTTATTTAAAAAACAAATAAACAAACAAAACACACACACACACCAGAAAGACCTTTTAAGTCAGTTTGAGCACAAAGGGGAAAGTGGGGAGCTGTGGCAAGACCTCATCTCTACAAGACGGCACACAGGCATACCAGGGTGCTTTGCTAATTCAGCATTTTGTGCATGACAGAGCCATTTTCCTGATTAACTTTCAAACTCAGCTACAATGTTTCCCCTACACCAGTCAGAGCCTGCAGTCAGATAGGATGGCTGACTAGCAACAGAACAAACTCGGGTCCTCCATAAATGAGTGTAATAGCTCCCCAAAACGAAGAGAGGAACATATTTCATATTTTCTGTCGATGTCCAACAATGTCTTACCAGTGGGCCAAATAAAAAGACCACAACATACCATTAAAGAGCCAAACTGCAATACCTGCCTGGCTGCTCTCATGGGCTTTAAAAGGAAGGGAGGGTGCTGCTGGTTGGGCCATTTGCACCTGAGCCTCTACAGCTACAGTTATTATTTCTGCCAAAATCAACTGAGTTGCCCTAATGCAATTCACTCAGCCCCAAAGGAGCTGTCTTCCCATCCCAGCTGGGGTAGCAGCAGGTAGTGTGTTCTCAGGGAAGGCAGCTACCACCTAACAGGTTACTCAAACTCTTCCAAAATAATCCCAGACATCAGTGCATTAGTGGGAACAGGCTGTCCCATCATCCTGTCAGAAAGAGCTGTATGTGCCCTGGCACCAATGCTGAAGGGTGCTTTGGAAAGTTTTTGTTCTCCGCTGTTTAATTAAAAACACATTTTGTGGCTGCTATTTCAAGAACCACCAAGAAGGAGTGGTAGGAGGGAAAATGAGAGAATCAGAGAAGGAGAGAAAATCAGAATGACTTTCAACAGTCTCACTTTTTCCACAAATAACTCTGTTATTTTGCAGCATTATTAATGCTCCTAAAGGCTGAGAAGCAGCTGGAAGGCCTGAAATAGCATTATTATTTTTCTTTTATATACTTTTGGATTTCCTTAAAATACAAGCTGCCTTCCTTCCACGGTCTGGCATCTCACGAGCCTCGTGCCTGTATGCGCAGACATGAGCTGGGGACAACCAGCCAGGGAAACCTTCCAGGCATGTGCTTGGCAGGGGGAGCCAGCAAAGTCCCTTCACTCTACAAAATAGGGAAGACGATTGTGAAGAGTGGGGAGACTTCATATGGCAGGAATATTTGGCAGCACGGATCCAAGGAGAGGGCACTGCTGTAACGTGCAGCCCCAGTAGCTGTTGAGGACTCTCAAGAACCCCTTCACCAAGGGTGGGGATAGCCAGGTCCCACCCGGTCTCTCTTAGCAACAATTTCAGATGAGATGGACTGCCCAATAAAATCCTTACTTACTATTTAAAAAAAAAAGTCTTTATCAAGTGAGAGAGAATTGATTCCTTGGTTGCACCTTACAGCTCAATACCACCCTTGATTGGAAGAGGTCTCTCCTTGCTGCTGGTAGGGGCAAGGAGCTCCCTGCAAGCCCGTCCAGCAGGAGGGAAATAAAGAAATAATTAATCCTGTTATTATTTCAATTCCTCCTGACTATTACCTTGGTAAATAAGTAGGGAGATTTTGAAAACGGTGTTTTCCTTTTTTTTCCTCCATAAGTCAGCAGGTTAACAGGATGCTCTCAGGCACACTGCTAAGGTTTCTGCTTGAAGTCCCGCTGCATGGCTTTGCTGCTGTGCCTGCTGCTGGCAAAGATCGCTGCTGCCATCCTCAGGGGCAAGAGGAAACACTGCAGGCAGCAGCCAGTGCCCTCTTGCTCAAAACCCTCTTTTTCAAGCCTGGCATTGCTGCTGGCTATCAGCTCATCACTAACCTCCTTCCGAAGGCCAATTTAATGAGGAAATTGTGATTAACGAGCTTCATCTGAGGGGTGGAGGCTCAATCAGAGGCTAAAGCTGGGATTTCTCCTTCATCCCAGCTGCCAAATACATCCAGATGCTGCAGCGTCCCCCTCCCTCACCACCACCCCCTCACTGCCTGCCACCTCATGAGGCTGCACGGAGAGGATTTGGGCGTTTGTCCAATCCTTATCTCGCTCAAAGGCTGTGGCCTTTCCTCTTGAGCAGCTCACAGAGCAGCTCTGGCCCTCCACAAGATGTTCTCAGGATGTACAAAGTGTTATCCTTAGTTAACCAAATCCCCACGTTAACCCAGGAGCAACGCCGGCCTGTCAAGGTTGTCACCACCTGCCCAGGTAAGGGGGGTATCAATTTGTTGGGATGGCTCACTGGGCAGCTCGAGGCATTGCACAGCTGAAACGCAGAGCCCAGCTTATGCTGTCTGCATCTGAGTGCAAAACAAAATAGCAAAAAGCAATCACCACCAATGGACAGTCCTGCAAGAAGGAACACGAGCGAGAAAAAATTATTTTGTTGGAAATAAAACCACCTTCCCTTCACAGCCAGCCGTGCAGTGGCCTTTGCTACGGGAGCTGTGCAAGGGCAGGAGTTTAAGCAGCTGTCAGGACGTGCGTGGTATGAAGGCAGCTTTCGGTGTCAGCAGCACGGCGATTTGCTCTTGTAGTGCTGGAGCCTTTGTGCTGCTGAGGGAGGCTGAAGAGGGAGAGGTGGGGCCCCCAGGTTTCATAACCTCACATTAAGGAGTACCCAGGGACTGGGGGAACCCACAGACATTCGTCACAGGGGTCTGACCTGCAGATGGACCATGTAGGCTAAACAGCCATCCCTTTGGAGAGGAGAACTGCTTATGTCACACACAGAAATTGCATCAGCAAGAGACAAGGCTCTAGGAGGCTGCCGCAGACCAACGCATCAGCCTCCAGACTCAGCACATTTGGCAGCACAGGGGTGCAGCGTGGAAACAGCACTGAATTATATAAGAGGACCAAAGGATCTTTTCCAAGCGTATTCCTAGAGGAAAGCTCCCACTGACGTCCTTGAGAAAAGACACCCCAAATATTCTGCATCTAGCAACACCAACCACAGTGCGACAGCCTGAATTTTCTGTGCCAGGTGACAGAGACACTGAAAGGAAAAACCGAGCCTTGGTTTGCACTGTGTGGAGAGTCAGGTGGAATATAGGGCCGTGCCCCAACGCAGAGAGCCACGTTGGGATTGAAGGACGATACAGGTGACATCACGGGAGCTCTTCTGCAATCCCCTGGCTCTGTTTTTGGGTGAATAAATCAAGGATTTCTTACTAGCCCATCACGCTAGTGTGCTTCACAAGCAACAAAGTTGAAATTCTTTTATTTCAATGCACTCTAAGGGGAAATTCCCAGTTTCCTGCAACTGCTTTTCAGTCGCCTGATTCTCTCCCACTTTTATTCTCCCTTTGTCCTCTCTTGAACCCAGCTGATTTCTGTGCCCGGGGAGCTCCTTTCATTTAAACCAAAGCTAACATAATTGAGGCCTGAAAGCTGCACCTTCCTTTCCTGCTGGCAAAAACATTCAGCGTTACAGGGACCTCTGCTCCACTTCTCCGGCTTCCCACGCCAGCTGTCCTGCCAGCCACTCCAACGCACGGCGCAGCTGCTTGGGAGACCAGGTGAGATGGAAGCTCTGAAAGTGAAAAGGGATCGAGAAAGAAGCATAAATCAAGGGCGTGCTCAAGATTTCTGCCTTTGCTGTTCTCCTGGAGGTACACCAGCCTCCATGGACCAAGCGATTCATCGTTTTACTTCTCCAGACAGACTTTGCAAAGCAAATGCAGGTTATCAGTGTCAAAACAGCTCCTAGCCTTGCCCCAAGCGATGCTGAAGCTCAGAGGGGTTGGATATTAAGCCTGGCTGGTTGTTGGCCCCTCCAAGGCACCACCACAGTGGGGAGGAGATCTGGAGTCTGCTTGCTCCACGTCCAGTTAGATGACTTTTAATTAGCTTTAAGGATCGCTGTAATTTAATGAAAAGGATGTGTACAGGCCATGATTTGGGTTTAATTTGTTTAGCAACACAAAAGCAAAGAGAAGCACTTGTGCAAACTGCCCGGCTCTCGGTCTGGCAGTAATGCAGTCCATTTTTTTAATTTGCAATGATAATTTCAAACTCATAAAAATACATCTGCTGACCCAGACAGATCGTTACTGGTGCTTTGATGCCTGGATTGCTTTTTCCATTTTATCGCCCTCGTTTTCCTCATGCAGACCACAAAAACAGTTGAGCTGACAAAAGCAATTGATATGTCTTCCTTCCTTCATTGTAGAAGCGTGGCTTTAATATGCAGGTTTAGTCAATATCAGATTTGAAGGAGAAGAAAGTAGGGAGGCTGAGGCCCCACTGCCCATTCACAGGAACATTATTTTCCTTTATGAAATTCGCACAACGCCGTATTAATAATTATTACTTAAGCTCGTGCCAATAACTGCAGCTTTATGGGCTGCTCTGGGGTTTTGCTACGTGTAAAGGACAGCAGCAGACTGCTGAAGGAGGTCTCTGGCAGCCAGTCCAGCTGCCTACGATCTGGAGCACCCCACCATGCCTTACACATGCTGCTTGTTTTCCCACAGGTGGATTAGAGCAGCGATATGTCGAGGTAATGTGGGCAGCATGAACACCTGGATCTGCATCCAGAAAAAAAGAGGAGAGGAGAGAGGTCACGGGTGACCGGATCACGATCCCAAAGGATGCATCGTCCCCAGCTGAGGACACAGTGACTGTAAGTGGGGTAAGACCTAATGAAAGAGGTGTGATTCTGCACGAGGGCCCGTCCAGCTCTGCTTAACACCAGTATTTCAAAAACTACACAGAATATTCAAGCTACAGGACGCCTGTTGCTTTGAGGTACTTACACCGTAGCTTAACACTCACACTGTTCTTCTTGGATCTCTATTTGTTCAACATAAATTCCCAACAGGCTTTGATTGCCACTGAATGTGGTATTTGCCTGCAATTACCTCTCCTACCCACCAATTTACATGAACACATATCAGGAGAAGCAGAACTGCCACAGGAATGGCTTTTTGTCAGTGAAGGAGATGCCAAAACATCCTAAAGGAGACTGCTCCAGTTGCGGTGTCCCAGTATTGGAGAAGGAAAGGTTTGTGTTGACTGAAGTCCAAGAAGTCACCATTTTTTGATGTAGCAGATCCTGGTTTGTTTCTGGCTTTTCTTTTAAAAAGTAATTTCGTAAAATTGTTAGTATGGCACAGTATCTATGTGATAGCTTCCCATCTGCTTGCCCAATTTATATCTACTGGATTTGCTAACAAAATCCAGTTTTTATTGCTAGCCACATTGCAAAGCTTATATAGTTATGGGAAAATAGGTCGCTACTCAATTCCTCCTTATGTCCTTATGCTTCATCAATCCAAGCGTGAGCTGATGCAACGCCAGTGTCTGTGCTGCCAGCAGTGGGGAGGTACAGAGCAGCCCGCTGCAGGTTGCCCTTCAGATCCGCTGCACAATTTGTAGGTATTATTTATTCTGGTGAGGGTGAAACTAAACAGAAATGACCAAAGGAAAATATTGTTTTGACAACAGGTATTTCACAGTTCCTATTCCGAGTTACATTTGTCCTCAAATCTTGTGCAAAGATAGAAGAGTGTCAGCAGGAGATGAAGAGCAGCGTGATGTTTAAGTTAAGCCTCTTTACTGACTGTCTAGCAGTCCTGTTCCCCTTCCCCAGCCACGGTCTTTCACCTTTTCCATTGCATCCAGAAAAGGCACTTGTCCCTCCCAGAATGAGGCAAATCAAGGCAATCAAGACAGCAGAAAAGCAGTAATTATGCGTGGGCTTGGTTTCCAACCAGCTCAGCTCCCTGAACCAGCTCGCTGCAGAAAGCCTGGGCTGAATTGGAGAGGGAGCAGGAACGGATTGCCCAGAGCAAGGTGAGAGGGGGACGAACACTTGGCATCCGTTAGCCATCACCCATGCTTCGTGCCACAGAGGACAAAAATAAAACTAAGAGGTGTGATGACAAAGACCTGCCCAGGTTGGTCTTTGTGATGAAAGACAGAGGATTCATGCCTCACAGGGGGCCCATGCCCAAACAGCTCTAACTCCCTATCTACCCTGAGGGGAATTGCCTTGAGGGGTGGCTCTGTGCAGTTCCCAGCTCCTCCCCAGATTCAATTTTGTCTGGGTCAAGTTCTCAGTCACATCAACTCCCCGAGGCTTCAATGCATAAACACAATTCAGATTTTTATGATTTAAAAATTAATAAACACTCGATCCTTGCAAAAACACGCTTCTTGCCACTTTTCTCGCCTCACTGCAAAAGGGTTTGTAATCAGTAACAAATGCAGCCCCTCTCATGGACCTGTACATTTTCCAGCATATTGTCTTACAGGATTATAAAAATTTAGATACTGATTACTCTTTAGACCACCTTAACACGTGAGGAACAATAACCTTTCAGAGACAACAAAGGGTTAAAACTTCAACAAAAATTAGTTATGTGCCTAAGGCTTGTATAGCTTTTTTTTTTTTTTAAATTGTCTTTTCCCCAAAACAATGGCCTCCTGCATAAACAATTTAATTATTTTACTCAAAGGTATGGTGTAAAATGAGACCGCTGCGTTCTATACTCCAACATAACTAGTGGGCATTGTCTGCGAATATCCCTTAGCTGGAAAATTGGCACCAACTGTTCCAATATAATTACAGCCATGATACCCATCAGCTGATTAATTTAATTTGTTTTTCACATCTGCAAAGCAATAACTACCTTACCATAGGCAGCAAATTCTTTCCTGTGAATTTTGTTATCAGACAGAAGTCTAACAGCAATATTGTCCCCTCTCTTCTAGGTAATTTGGCAGGTTGCAGCCTACAGTGGTTTATTTTCACAGCCTCCACCCTGTGATATGCACAAAGAACGCGCCTGCTTTGAATTTCTGACTCATTTAAATTTCACACAAAGCTCAGATTAAGCCCTCTTTGAGGACAACCCACAGGTTCCTGCCTGACAACCCAGAGCACAGAGGTGAAGTGTAGCTTTTCCGTGTTCTCATCTCTGCATTCCTTTTGCTGCCTGCCTGCCTCCCCTCTTCTGGAAGAAAACGGAGAAAATCGAGCCAGCTTAAACCCCCAAAAGATGGGCTTTTCCACAGCTTTCAATCAAACATTAAAGGTAATCTTCAGGTTCGATTCATCTGGAGTGCAATAGCCACTTCCCACTTACTCATCAAGGCCTGAACTGCCCCAACTTTCTGAAAAAATCCTGCTTTTTTTGCTCCGTTAGGGGTATGGCTTTGTCCTTCCCAATCCTCTCTCTGTTCAGAGAATCACTTCCTAACAGGGACGAAGGTTTTAGGAAAGACTGGACTGTTAAAGACATCAAGTGTGATGCTGACCGACAATTCATGTGCAACGCAGCAAAGCATGGACTTCTGTCGAAAAACCAAATTCTTTTGTTTTAATTTTTAAAAACAACTCTTGTGTACCATGGCAGGTATTTGCAATGAACAATAGCAATGTGTGCCATGAAAAAACGGTGGTAAACTGCTAAATTCTGTGTACACACATAGAGAATATGGGAAAGAAGAGAAAGAGGGGAATCAGTCGGTGCAGGTAGATTCAAGAAAACATTTTTTCAAGAGTCTTCTGGTATTAAAAACAAAACAATTATACTTGCAAGTCACTTGCAGAAAATTTTAATAATTTGCCAAATATACAGCTATTAGAATTACCCTAAATATCAATTATAATTAAATTACAAAAGTTGGTAGATAGCATAGTACAATGCTCTATAAAATAAAGACATGTAATATTAACAATACCCCCTGCAGTCCGATAATGGCAAAAATAGCAAATGAAATTACAAACACATACAAATCAGAGGAGACCGAGTGACGGCATTAGACACTTGAATCAAAGAAACTGACACCAGACTAGATACATTCATCCCTCAAGCATAATAAATGTAGAACTTTAGATTTTAAAAACAATTAACAACACAGCATCAGGTGCAATTTCACATGCTTTCATTTATCTTCCAGTACAGTTCCCAGAGTATTAAAGTGCCTTTGTGCACTCTAGTTTCATTTATAGTCAGGTGCAATACACATATTTGGAAGTTAGTTCATAGGTCACTTTTTTTCTAATAAAATAACTATTTGAACCAATGTACACAATTCAAACGGAGGTGTTTTAAAAGTACCTTTGTTCTTGGTGACTATTTTCTGTTGAATGTCATGTAACACAGAAATTAAACTCCAAATACACGGGGCCCATCTCCATCAAACAAGGCCACAGAAGCTGTTTCTGGAAGTAATGTTTTCTGTTGTATAATCCTTAGCTGTCTTCCTTTTCTCCCCTTTCAAACACTGCTAAAATAATCACATTTGTCCTTTTGATGATGACCTTCTCAGCAGCTTTCACTTACAGATTGCCACAAAAACAGTAAAGGCAGCATTTGGCCTGCAACTATGGAGAGGAACGTACTTTACAAACAGCATCCTGCAATAGCCTGTTGTCATTTGATGAATATACGTGGACAGCATCAGCCTACCTGCGAGATACCTGAAGACTTCACAGCCTTTGGATCGTATCAGGAAGATTATCTACGCTGCAGAACTGACCAGCTGTCCCGTGCTTCTTACGAACTTTCACCACTTCCCACTACACCACCCTTCTTAAACCCAAGCCTCAACATCAATTGCAGTAAGAAAAGGAAAACTTCACGCACGGTTTGGCTGTCACTCACCTTGCCCCCAAAATGTTCTCTGGAACGCACACACAAGCGAATGTCACAAAACCTATCTAATCCCCAAAGTATGTTCTGTACTAAAATTCCACTTCTACTTCTTCACGGTAGAAAGTGCAAAAGGGAAATGTATTTCCCACATTGAGGCATTTTGATGGCATTTTTTCAATACCTGCACTTTAAGAGCAGTTAACGGGGCACGAGTGTTTTGTTGCTGTTGTTTTGTTTAGGAAATCAAGGTTTCATTTTAAATTATTCTACAATGATGCTACAGGAGGTCACCTGTGGTACCAGAGCAAGGACTGAAGAAGGCACTCTGGAGGAAAGCTTACTTGGGGAGGAAAAAAAAAAAAAAAAAAGAGGATAATGAACAACAAATAACTTCAAACAGTCCTACTGCTGTCTTCCTACACCTGACAATGGTTCACATCATGAAGTGAAGAAACAATGAGAATGGTTTGTAAGCTTGGGCTGTGAACACCACTGGTGACATGCCAGTGCAGGTCACGCCTTCCCTGTGCTGCTGTTCCAGGCTCACGCTCAGTACTGCGCGATCCAGGCTCCAACCAGCCCGAGCTCGCAGCAGGTGAGAGTGCTGTTGGAACTCTAGATGTATGGTAAGCTAAAATTACTTAAACAAAACCATGTGCACTTTGTTAATCAAACGAAAGGGAATTAGTGGTTTCTTAATCTACTGACTTAGACTTTAAAAGTTTCTCCATGAAACTGTAGAGTTACAGAAAAGAACAGTCTGGCTATGCACTACAGCAGAAAAATAGAAAACAGTACAAGGTTCATGTGAATCACAATAAGTCTCAGTTTTAGTTCATAAAATGATTTGGTTAAAATACTTTACATGTCTCATACTGGTATAATAACTTTTCCAATGTACTTTATGCAACAAATTCCACCCATATCCAAAAATACCATATATGTAAATACTTATGTGTTTTGTGTTTTTTGTTTTTTTACAAAACTGTATACAATTCAAACTCTCCTTAAGTAAGCCTATACACAATTCTCACAATCACCTAGGTAGAAAGTCTTCAGAATAAGAATATTCTCAGAGAATATAGGAACGACAATGCTTCCATGCGTCTTCCCTTTTGACAATTGATTCTGCTAAATCAAACTCTTATTGCTTAAAATCAAAACAGACAGGTTTCATCAACGACAACAGCACTCGAATACCACACCAGCCTGGGGAAGAGACCTGCTTGCAGCTTGATTGGGCAGAAACACCCACCAGCCTCGTTACCAGTTCTGTGAAAATGTCCACGTAGCTGTCGCCTGTCCTGTACGTTTTGCACAGAGAACAAGAGGCATCACTGGCAGGGAGGGAGATCGAAGGTAATACATACTTTTAGTGTCCAGCGTCTCCCTTTACATTTTCTAATTAATTCTGTGAAACGTCTCCAGCTGTAACTGAAAACAATCCGATCTGATCAGATACAAGACACTACAAACACCAAATCTAAAGTGTGCAAGAACAATGTGAACATAATGCCTTGGTGGGCTTAAATTCACATTCGGTACTATGCCAAAACACCTCTATGGCAAGCTTTATTTACACAACTTCCAATTAAAAATACTGTTGTCTCTCAAGCTACACTTTAAATTAACAGAAATACATCCATAATAACTACCGGTAAAAAAAAATGATAAAATGATTTTTTTTTATTCAAAATAATCTGACAGTTTAACAATATTCCAGGTGCATTACAAACACTGCCATAGTCAACACAACAATCAATACTTAAAGAGCATTCAAACACTGAAGACACACCTTAAAGCAGAGACAGGAGAATGCGCTTACACTAAGAGCATACAGGTCATTTTCCAATAACTGACTCCTTTGAGGCAGATGTCTGAATTCTCTGGCACAAAAATGGATTAAAATCCAGAAGAGATGAATTACAGAGGACAAAATGGCCACTATCAGCCTAGACTACCCTAGTGTTGACTAGTTACGGGATAAAACAACAAGATCATAACACACAACCCAGCATTAAAGCAAACAAAACCACCAACTCTTCCTAGAATATGGCTAAATTAGTTCACAGAGAGTTGGGAATATATTAACTATATAGTGCAACGGAAATACCAGGTGGAAAAAAATACTTTATCTTCCTGATAATTTCCCCTCAGCCTTCACCATACTTTGCGTAAAAATTTCAACACAATGATACTGCCCCTCCTGCAAGCATCTTTCCCCACGCTTCAGAACAAAATCATGTTGCTAACTGATTGCTTCGGCTCCTCAGCATATTGGCCAGTATTAGCTCTAACACTGAAATAACGTAGTTCCACACATGATACCCTGTTTCTTCCAATTAACCCAGGATCTAAAACGGAGCTAAAATTTCAGCTTTGTTTAGAACAGCGTATTTGTTCGAAAAGGGTTTGTCTCTGACATAGAAAACAGATGTCAAACCAAGAACTTGCACAGCTGCATACACAGATGAGTGCATAGTGCAGAACGTTACACAGAGAGAGCAGCAAGGCCACAACGTCACATTAAGTCCACACGTAAAAGCTCTATGTTGCCCATGACAGAATCCATTCTAAAAAGTTTCACTCGTGGGGCCTGCTTAAAGCATTAAAATCTTACTTTATGTATCACGCTCCGGCGTGACTTGTGTATAGCTGACTACACACACGTGTTAGGACAGCCATGGACACAGCACACAGAGGAGACACCATCATCCCAATCTCAAGCATTCCATATGAAAGCCTTAATTTTTCCTGTGAAAAAGAAGTGGGACAACTTTCAAATCATACAGCTTGCTTGGGTGTTAATAAAAAAAAAAAAAAAAAAAAAAAAAAAGCTGCTTTAGCCCAGGGTTAACAGAACCACAACTCCATTGAAATCCACAGAGGTTTGTCTGGTTGCTCCAGGGCTGGACTGGATCTTCACAGCACAAGGTCCTTCATCCGCATCGCTCATCGCTTCCAGCGGTGCTCCCCGGCGGTGGGAACCTGGAATGCTTCTTGCAAAAGTGGCAAACGGCTTGAGGAAATCTCAGTATGCTTACACAAAATGCTTTGTCTCCCCGTTCAGTTAGTTTGCTTTTAAAAGCAACGTTTTTTGGAGAAGGGCCATCAGAACAAAGGAGTGAAGCATTCCCCTTAGTCACAACATCAGACACTCCATTAAAAGATTGACTTAATCTCCTAAACCAAATTAGTTCCTGGAATATCTCACACTCATTTGTTTTTTTCTTCACTCTTTCTCAGAAACAAAGTTTCTCTACCAGTTGTGCAGTTTAAACCTGTTACCACATTTTAGTCCAGCATTTTCTTAGCACCTCAACACAAATTACATCACAGCTTGCCTGCAATGAACATCGGCTACGGACAAGCACCCACAGCAGGGTTAGAAGAACAGCGACATGGCCCCGATACATCGAGAAGCACTTTTTGATACGCTGGTTCCCAGGTTAGATGACTGAATCTAAACGGGATTTCCCTCAAAGCAGGGTTAACTCCAGTTATTGGAATACAGTAAACACAAGAGGGCAGTACGGAGGACGTCAGTCCCGTACTTCATAGTTTTCAGTCCGTTTGCTAAAAACCTGTTAATGGAGATATGGCTCAGTGTCAAGGCTAAGTGGGCAAATGTTATCTAAGCTGAAGTCGTTACGGGAACTAACACAACCCCTGCTTATTGTACAGCTGCACTCCTTGGATTTCAGCCAGCCAAACACGCCGCATCCTACCAATTTGCCTATCCTGCATAATCTCAAGTATCTTCACCCTTTCGCATTCCCCAATTAACTACCAATTATTTTCCTGAGTGAGATTATAAAAAGTTAAACCCTTCTACCAAAAGTACAAAGACAAATAAAATAGAGTAGAACAATACAAACCCAGTTATACAGCATTACAAGTGCAGAAATTCATCACGTTGTTGCTCTTCGTTATTGTTGGCCCCCAGTAAAAACCATAACAAAGAATCTAGTTATCCAAAATATTTTGAAGTACTGTGATTAAATTTTTCAGACCATAAATGTATCCCTCATCCTTTGCGTTGCTAGGAAACACGTGAGCAAAATCTATCATTCGCACTTCTACGTTTACGCTTTCCTTGATCTCTGCTGGCATATGACAGAAAACTTTTTCCAGTTGGGGTATAACGTTTCCGTTCAGATGCTCCTGGGTGATGCAAGTGCTGCTTTTCCACACGTTGTCTTGCTCCAAGTTCTCAACTTTTAGCGAGAGCTGACTGTGGTGCCTCTTAGAGTATGCCTTTTTGTGAAGTGCATAAAATTTGGACAAGCCTTTACTTACGGAGGCCTCAATTTTTCCATTCTCTGTAGAATTTATTAGGTGAATATTGTTATTGTACTCCAGTATGTCTCCACCTGATAGCAGTCCTTTGGGCACTCCCCTCTTCTCTGCCAAGGTGACATCGCTCAACCGCACGGTTGTTGCCTGACACGAACCTTCGTAAACAAACAGTAACGAGCTTGCATAAAAGTTGAGTTGCTTCTGGCCCTCAAACCACGCCAAAATTTTTTCAATCTTCTGAATGCTGGCAGCGAATCGCGTCTTTTCTCAGGCAGTACCCATTGTGGAAAAACTTTGCAATGCCTGCAAGAAACAGACGTTTTGGAGGATTATTTTCACCTCTGAAATGAAATCAAATGCTGTTCATTTATTTGGGGACGGGAATGATTCCTGATTTGAAGGCAGCATTCAGTTGCCTTTCCAGCACAGTTATTAAACAAATCAGAACTGAACTGAGGAACTCGGGCACTTTCAGTCACCTCCCCACACGGGTCCTGCTGTACAGAGCAGCTGGGCTATACATACACAGAGCCTGTGTTGGGCTTGGATCCTAAAAAAAAAAATAGCCACTCTATGTATCAAGCAGTAGATGAACACGGTTCCTGCATTTAAAGCAAGCGCCTCAACTGTTTTGGGCAAGGACCCACTAAATTCTCCAGGGATAAACAAGCTTCAGCAGCTCCCAGCTTCTTTATCACAAGTGACAGAGCTGACAAGCTGGTGCCAGCTCTAGAGAGGGATGTGTGTGTGTGTCTGTCTGTCCTTCTGTCCCCAGGAGGGGGACAGACAGATGTCACTTAACGACTACTTTGAAATGTTTATCACCAAATAGACATACAGTGGTAACATTTTTATTTATTGTTAGTGTAGCGGAAGGTAAGAATTGATTTCAAGTGAGATGGTCAGTGAAAAGTGTGTTTATAGCAGCTTTTTAATATTACAGACAGCACTTACTCACAGAATACAACCAGAAATATACAGATTAAAAACATTAACACCTCTAAAATTTCTACCTCAATGGAGTATCAACCCTCAATTCTGCAAAGAGATTGGATTCTACCACAATTACTCCCTTATTAATAGTAAAAGGGATGTGTGATGAGGAAATTCTTGTAACTGTTGTTACAGCCAACTGCACGTTTAACTTAGGGTTGACAGGTAGTTCAGATGATACAGGGCACAGCTAAAGACCCATCTGGCAAGAGGAGAGAAAGGGATTTTTTAAATGGGAATACAGAGACTACTTTACTTTTTCCATATAGTTCTAAAATAATCTAATATCAAATACCCAACAGCACTGAGCTCCCTTACCATCCTTTACTGTTTCCTTCGTCAAGCCCCTTCCGTAGTGCTGGTTTTGCGTCTCGTAGCTGTCCGAAGAGACGTGGTACACCTGCAAGAAACAAGAAGGTACGTCTGAGCTTATTTAGAGCAACCAAGATTTTCTGCATGAGACACCTTACAGACCGGTTACAAATCTCTGCTACCACTTATCCCTTCTGTAGCTGTACGTTACTGAGGAGGTCAGCACTGCCCTCTAGTGCTCTGATCTGCAAAACAGTGCCCCTGCATATCTTGGGCTTAATCTACAGGTTGTATTTTCCTGCATCGGAAAGACATCATACTAGTTACAGAAAACACGTTACATAGAATGTACCTTGCAGATCAATGCTAGGATGTGAAACCATCACACTCCTACTGACGTTGCTATAAATATTAATTCAGTAAGACTTAACATGCTCATGCATTCACTATTTTGCAGTTCTTAAAAACGTAAATATTTGGTACAACAGCAAAACAACAAGTGCTATGCTGTGACCAGGAGTGCCCAGTACACGAGACCCATCTGAAACTACGATTTTTGGCACAAATGAGGTTACATGAAATAAAGACAGCAGCCGAGTGGAAGCTCGATTCCAGCAGGTACTGGTACAACCAGCACAACGCCTGAAAGGGAGGCAAATCACACGGGTACAGTTTTGCCCATATCAGGAATTGCACAAGCTCAACAACTTAATTAAAAACTGTTTTACACAGAGACACATTTTCTCTCTAACTGAAATAATTTCCATTGTAGAAACGTGCCAGCCAGCCAGGCCCAAATATAATTTGTTTATGAGAGTGTAGACAATTCCTACTTGCAGAAATAATGGTGTTACCAAGCAGGCGGTTCTCTCTGGCAGAAACTTTCTGCTTGGCATTTGTTCAGACCACCCAACCCTGCGGCACCCATCCCGGCTGCCGCGCTCTGCCCTCACTTCACCCGCCGCACAGAGAGAGGATCCCACAGAGAGCAAGTGGGGCTGCACCGGCGAGGCAGTGAAAATTGGTGCATAAAATTGAGCGGTATATAAAAAATAGTAATAACAAAAAAAGCAGAATTCCCTGATTTTTGTTTTTGTTTGTTTGCTTGGTTTTTGTTTGTTTGTTGTTTTTTTTGCAGCCTCCCACACCAAAACTTCTCTCCCTCATCCAAACCACGATGAGCACGGTCTGAAAACACAGGCCCAAACTCTCGCTTTGCAGAGCAGCTAGAAGGAAACGTCTCAAAAAATTCTCACTGTGACAAAAAGATTCAAGTAATTACACTCAGTGTCCCCAAGGAGCTCAAATCCTGGTGTGTGGAAACAGCGACTCCAGCCATCAGCCACGCATTGAAAGGGCAGTAAATAATTCTGATTGTACTAAAGAAACAACAGTAGTAAGCCTGAGTGTTTCAACTCGCTTGGTGGCGGGGATTACTTCCCACTGTTACAACTCCAACTTCTACTGCTGTAACAGCTACAGAAAGTGAGGTCCTGCTGCCTATAAATTGCAGAAGAGCGCAGTGAAAGAGGTTATTTTAAAAGAACATCTGACTACTGTGACTTTGGTTTCACTAAACCAATCGTTTTTCTCTGCTTCTTTTCTTTAAAGCACATTAGAGAGAGCATAAAACATACAAAGTCAAAGACAACTTATTTAATTACTTCAAGTACCAGAACTATTTTCAAAAGCTCTCAAAAACTTCCAAAATTTCAAAAAGAACACATGCGAAAGGTAATTAAATAAATCAAGAATAACAAAGTCTGTTCCTTGGGAAGAGGAGCAAGAGTCTGGAGACCGCGTCCATGTTTTTACAAGCTGCATCTTCGTTTCAGTGGCACCAAGCATGCGCGTTCGGTCAGTTTAGGGGCAGCTGCCTGCACACATCTGCACTGCAGCACGCTCACGAACACATAATCCTGTTTACCAGAACCTTATCTCTTACCCATAGGAGCTAACCGTTTCTGCGACACGGGCAGTTGCTCAAAAATGCTGATTAGGATCTGCAAGCTCATTTTCTTTTCCAAAGAAACACTGGAACAGCGCACAAGCCCCCTGTGCCTCTGAGTTTCCCACGAAGCCACCCTACCTCTTCTCATAACTTGCACGAACCCATTCCCCCCAGTTTTAGAGGTTTAAAACTCTTATGTGCCAATCTTGCATCAGCTGGGCATATTTAACTATACAAAATGGTTGGTGACAAACTGCTGAGCCCCACACATCCCAGCACTACAACGTAGAGAGTTAACTATCTTGTGAATAAGCATGCTCAGAATACCCTTGGTTACCAAAGGGCTTGGCTGCAGTTCCAAGTTATTTTTCTTTTCTTGAAGACAATAGTATTGAAGGACAACACATGCAGGTAATCGTGAAAGTATTCTCCACGTTAGCCAAGGAGCTGTCTCTTAATTCTCCTCAAAGCCTTCCCTCAATGGCAAGGACGTGGCTGCTTGAACCATTCCTGGACGACCTCAGCGAAACACAAACACGTTAAGCCCCATACTGAAAGCAGAGGAACAGAAACCCCAGCTCAGATAGGAGCAATCTTTCACCACGTCTTGCTTGGTCCTCACCCCAAAAACAAAGGGATCGCTCTGCTGCAGCAGCATGAGGCCGAAATTGACTTCCAAGCCGAGAGGCTTCTTGCCTTACCGCGCTTTTGTTCACGCCGTCACTGCGGCTAATCTGCTCCCACCCCTTCCCAAAAGGATATTTGCCTTTGAACCAACTTTTCTTCTGTAACCCTGTCGTTGCGACTGCCTGTACTAGCCCATTTCTGTCAAAACAATGGCAAGTCAAATAAGTCACATCTGCAGCCTCAACAACAGCCAAGACATTATTAGACAGGAAAATCTCATTTCTTGTCCACCTGCCACGGCTCGTTACGCGTTTGCTCTGCATTCACGTAAGGAGTTCCACTGCATAGTGCAAGACAAAGAAAACGCATGAGATCTGCAAAACATCTCCTGTAAGAAAAGTCCTGCTTGATCAGGGATTTTTGCACATTCCTACCAGGCAAGAATGGAGATGTTTCGGTCAACAGCATGTAGGCTCCTCCTTGTGCCTACAAGCACTCCCAGTTCAGTGAGGTTTCTGCATAAACAGAGCTGGAATCCAGCAAGCTAAAAAGTTTTTTTGGTTTTAATTATTAGTAGTAGGGACCCTGTATGGGCAGCATGTCAAACAATCCTGATAATTAGCTGACAAGGGAAATTATTTCTGGAGTTTCTCTTCCAAAAGCATTTGGCTTTTGGATCCCCACGAGGTGTTAAATTATTACTGTTTGCATACGCAGACATTTTTGTACCATTTTTTAAATTATGGTGTTAGTACAGTGAGACAGTTTGGAAACCCTGCAACTGCAGCTTTAGAACGTTAAGTTGAAGACTGACTCCAGGAAAGCAAAGTATCAAACATTATACAGTGTTATTTACACTAATTCAGTGCAGGCTTACATGGCAAAGCAGAAAAATACACAACTGTTCAAATACTTACCTATGGAAATTCCCTAACTGGTAGAATTATGACTGAAATATGTATTTTCACACTTTTGCTCGCACCTCACCATTACCCCATGCAATGCACAGGTTTCCTTGATGTCTGAAGAAGCCAGGTTTCTCCGCAGCCCTGTGAGCTCTCAGGGACTTGTTCCTGCCACTATGGAAGACTTAAACACCGAGTTTTAATAAACCCTATCTTTAATAGATTCAGTAAGATGTAGAATGAAATTATATTGAAACCTATTCAGTGACAGAGCAGAACAATAACCTCCTAAATAAAAGAAACAGAGGCACTGCAGTTAAGTCCTGAAGCACTTTTAAAATAGCTGAATACATTATTTTGGATTCCCAACACTTCCACAGAGCAGCTCGTTAGAATAAATTTCTCTTATGCCTGCTTTTTATAATAACGGGGAGAAAAAGGAGGCCACCTCTCATGTCACCCATCCCCTGCTTTTTCCTAACATCCAGGAGCTGTTATCAGCCATAAGGACACAACTGTACCAGCTGTCGTTTATCTGACGAGTCCCTCGCCCAAGAGGATGACAGATGAGCCTCCTGAACTCTAGAAATGAATTTCTGAAACATCCTTCAATTGACTGGCAGATACGGGACTCGGGGGAATTGCTGTGCTCAGTTTTGCAGCATGGATTTGGGCACTGTCGAATTTGTGAGCATTTTCTTTTTAGCTTTTGTTTTGTCTTCCTCTGTTTTCTGAAACAAAGCTTGAATTAGATTATAGAAATATAAAACAAACAAACAAAAAAGCCTTTTTTTTTCCAAGGAAGAATAGGAATGCTCGATGCAGGATTTAATAGCTTTATTATTGTTCCCCTACTAAATCTTAATTGATATATCAGGGCTTACAAAAATCGCAGTGTTAGAAAAGGTTCATACAGAAAGAAAATAGTCTCAGCTGCAGTTAGTTTTAAAATATCTTGCAGGAACATGTGCTGTAGATTAGGAAATTTGCTTTTGGAAACAGCTTTGATAAGGTATCTGCATTAATGTATGCAATAAATGTATGCAATAAATCATAGGCACAAACAACAGCACATGATGGATTATACAGGCCAAGTTACATAATCATCGCTCCGTGCTTTAAAAACCTGTTTCACAAAAATTGTGAGCTCTGTAACACTGCAATCAAGATGCTCTGAAAAAGGAAAAAAAAAAAAAAGTAGAAATTGGGAATTGTGGAGTCTGAAAGGGCTGTGAATCAAGATCACAACCCACACATTTTGCTTTTATTCAACAGCAAATAAAACACTCTATTTTTAATACTGCATACGCTGCTAAGATGTTTCTTGTATATTTATGTCGACTAGTAAAACCATACTGCAACCTGTATTTCTGTTACTGAAACTGTAACTTGGTGTTCTGATTTATATTTGAGCTCTCCCTACTTTTGTAACAAACCTCTGTCCTCAACCATCTGACGGAAGGAACCCCTGCGCTGACTATGAAATAGGTTTTTAACAAATGCTATTGAAATGACTGTGCTTTCTAAATGTGGCTCCGTGCATTTCTTCTGCTATTCAGTGAATAAAGATGAGCATGCTTTAGCACGTGCCAAATGCCAGAGCCACGTACATAAAGCAAAGCTCCGCCAGTTAGATTATTATCATTTTTCAAAGGATAAACCGTCTGCATGGATGTGTAACTAGATGATTACTTACTTATCAGTGCATGAAAAAAGCTGTATCGATGACTTTTGGGGTAAAAAAGGACTATAAATACATTTTTGTTTTAAAAAAAGGTGTAACATTATTGTTCGTATCTTTCTTCATGACAGCTTTTATGCTGTGTGCTTTAAAAAGCACAGAGAACTGCATTTTTCCTTGTTTATTTTTTTCCTGGTCCCCCCCCTCTTTCCTGCTTTTCCAAAATAGAAACGGTGAGATACCTCCTTCATCCCCAGTATTGCAAATAACTCTGAACCAAGAGATTAAAATCAAAACTCTCTTCTTTCTAGGCTGTGTGGTACCACACAAACACGTTTGCCCAGCAAACGCCAGCATCCCTTACCCAGCATGTTAGCTGTTACAGGCAGAAAATGCCTGTACAGGAGAAGGTTTTACATCACGTCCTGAATCCTGGAATAATAAAGCAAGCAGACAGGCAGAGAGCACCCCGTAATCGAGAGGAGGCAAGCTGAGCAGAGAAAATGCCTTGTTTGTGAATGTGGGCTTTGCTAAGTGCTGCGTGAGGGGAGGAGGAACCTTTTGAAATCTTTCTGGAAAATAACTTCAACATGCAATTTGGTTCCAAACGCTCAAAACACATCTCATCTAGTTAAACACCGGATGGGAAACTGCAGTGCTTGGGGGAACCATCATTATAAACACAGCTTTAATTAGGGAATCAAAAGAATCTCTGCAACAGGATCAAGATGCCAGTAAACGACAAGGTTGCAAACAAAACCACTGAACACTGTGGAAGCAAGCACCCCTTTTACGCTGTCAGGACACAAAGAACGTGAAGTACGTTGTTTTACGGATGAGATAAGAAAGGTTATGTAATGATACAAGCCAAATCCAAGCCTATAATCTTCAGCCTTCCTTCTCGATCCAAACTGTTGGACTGGTTTTTGACTCGACTCCCACATGCTCTCTCGCAGGCTTGCATAATTGCTACTCATGACCACTATAATTTATAGCTGTAAAAGCTTATCTCAAGACAAAGTTAAGGCTGAGAGCCTAGGCAATTAGGTACAAAACACTGCAGGGAGATTAGAATTATTTCAGACAATGGTGCAATCTGGGTGCTGTTGCTTTCTAAGCAAAGTAGAGGCTTACCAAAGTCTCCAGCCATTTCTGTTTGCTGATGCAGAGCCTGCGAAGCCCTGGCTTCCTCCATGTGAGTATGGCAACAAAAACCTCACATCAAAACCAGAAGTATTCCCGTGCCAGTTGTGGCAGGAAAAAATACTTTAGATGCCTTGCATCAGGCATTTGTGTTACTGATCCATAAACGTTCTGTAAAGCTTTTCCTTATGCTTAAGTATTACAGCAGTCAATACACAAATACTCATTCATCTTTCTCCACGTTTAAAAGAAGGAAATCTAACGGAGTCACTAAGGACATCTGAAGGTCTTTACCCATCTCAGAGTAAGCTCCAACTGTCGGTCGTTCCTCAAGCACGTATGCTTCAAAGACATTTTCTTTGGATTGAAAGCTTTTTTAACTGCAGACTGTAAGCAGCTATTTATAACTATGCATATCACCTCTGAAAAGCTCACTTACTCTTCCCTAAATATAAAAATTACATTATTTTTATAAAAGCAAATCAAAAATAAAAAAAGACTTAGAGAGGACACAGATTGTTACTAAATTTTGAAGACTGGTCCTTTCTGTAAATCTCTGATACAAGCCTAAACACCAAAAAAAATGCTTTACAATCTCTAAAACCAATAGCTATGCAACAAGAAACGATTGCAACTACATTCAGCTTCGAATGACTATCATCTAGCCCAACACCTTTCCTGTATGTGTGTATATATATAGAGAGAGGCTGCAAACAGACTCTCCGAAGGGGCACAGCCAAGTTAAACACTTGTGAAGAGAAGCAGTGTTTTGAAACATACTTCACATGACAGTTGATACAGTACTACCAACACACTGAGATAACACTTTATTTACACAAAACTCCAAAGCATTGTCATTTGCTAGATAAACTAGCTGCTGTATCTGGTGTTCGACAACAGAGCAGAGCATAAGCTGAATTGGAAAAGAAAACAAGTCCTTACCCTCATGCCAAGTACCAAAAAGCCAATCTCTTCCATCAGTGGGTATTTGCTGACCTGCTGCTGTATCTTCTCAGCCGAAGCATACGGATCGTAACTTTTCTGCCCTATTTTTACGTCCATTATGCAAGGCTTATTAAACTTACGGGTCACATCTTCCAGTTTTAGATACATCTCTGTAGAAAAGACAAAACTTTGGTTAGCAGTGGGGCAAAGCAAAATAATCACAGAGTTTCTGCTGAGCTTCTGTGAAGGAGGGAGAATAGTTAAAGGACTCGCATGATGTTTGGCCTCACGTTTGTCTCTGAACACAACCTAAATTACAGTCACTGGCAGCCGCAAACTCCACTGGCATAAAATTCTGAATGCATTCTGGTTTAGAAAATAATATATAATTGAAGAGTGCTAGCCTGGCACTCAAATTCAAATTATTGTCCAGATGAAACTGAGGAGGAGCTGTTATTAAGGCAGTAACATACCTCAAATAACCTTAATAAGCACATGCACACACCGGTTACTCCGTTTTTTCAACGGAGACTGTGTTTTCTTTCTGCGTGAGAGGGGTAGAATTCAAACCGCAATTTTCTCTTTCTGTCATTTTAAAAAGGAAATTAACATTTCATAGTGCAACAAGTCTCCTTTTTCTCCTCCCTTGCCCCCTTTCTCCTTGGGCACCTTTTGGGGACAACACTGCTCAAATCCTAGGCTGCCTCTCAGCCGCTTCCAGAAGTGCTTTTGGGTGGGTGGACTACAACAGCCCCAGCCCCTCGGAGTGCCTGAAGATTTAAAGCAAGATGTAAAACCCAGTCAATCTGGTTTATGCTTTTCTCCAACATAGGTAAGAGATGATTTTCCAGCGTGATTTATGGCACTGGTTGTCAGAGCACACCAAGAAAACCAACTCCCCCAGTAACTGCCTACAACTCAGTTGGAGAAAGCGTGCACACATCTCCAGCCCTTGGCAGGACACGACGTGTACGAAGGAAAGGTCGGGCACCAACACCCTTCTCATTCTTCACATCAGCTTCTGCTAAGCCTGCTTTTATCAGGCCCAAACCTCCCATAAAAATCCATTTTTCTTTTGGAGCCCAGCCTACTCCATGAGCGTGTCTCCTTGGCTTTAATGCAATCTGCGTACACACGGACGCTGTGTTCTTCCCCATTCCTTCAGCATAATCACAAATGGGATTGCCAAAGAAAGCAAAAACCTCTGCAGTTAAATTTTAAAGAGGGAAGAGGGACCAAGTGCCTTAATTTCACAGCTGTACAGAAAAGTAACAAAGTCAGTTAGAGTCAAGAAAAAAGGAACAAATAATGTCCTTTCTTACTCAGTAAGTAGAGACTCTTCCTTAAAGATATGAAACTGTTTTTTATTACTTGTGTCCTATTTAGAGCTTCGATTTTTACACCATTATCACCATGATCAAATGACCCAATTCCCCAAAGTACACGTGCATCAATCTGAGAAACAGATTTCATTTAATCCTTAGATGTTTGCTTTATCTATAAATGGAACTAAGCATGTTTTTAACTGTATAGTCATGCCCAGGAAAGTGTGTTAAATCAATATACTATTCTAAAATCCAGTCTTCTACTAACTCAGTGCACCAGCTTACATTACTTTTCAGTGTCCTCAGGGCTACGGAATCAATCTGTCTACAGCAAAAAGAGTTTGGTTATAAACGAGCTCACTCATATACAAGGTTTGTTAACTCTAACTGCAGGGATACCCAAGCTAAAATAACTCACACTTAACTTTGAGAAAGCCACAAACAGCAAACAAACCCAACATTTGCTCATCAGATGTCCCCTAAGGGGAAGGTATACTGATATTCTCCCTATTAGGGAGCATATTCTGAATAAGCTGGACTGCAAGTGCCACTTCTATTCAAAGTGTTCATACACAGGTCAAATTCAGTCAGATATTGGCAAAGCTTTCATTTTTGAGGTTTTGGGGAACGCTATTGACTCTGGAGGAGTCCTACAACCTCTCAGCTCTCTATTATTGAAACAAAAATAGAGAAAATCTAAGCATCATCTTTCACACCCAGCCTTTTTTACACTATCTAAACTAAGGTAATCAATACATTTGTGGCATCACTCTAAAACAATCCAGGAAACAACATCTACATGAAATGTAAGAATTTCAGAACTCGGCTCTCAAAAGCACTGAGCCAGAGACATGGCATGGGACAGGGGCAATACAAAAACATCTCAGGGAACGGCTGTTGCCCTTCACCACCGACCCCAAATGCACTGGATTATCTCGTGAGCAGCTCCAGACTCGCTGTTACAAATACTTAAACTATCCAAACTGTACATTACCACAAATTATTCAAATTATTTAGATGCAATGCTGTTTGTCTGAGTTATTTTGTAAACCCTAAACCATGTGTATGTAAAGTAGTGCAAAACATCTGTTTCCATAAAGCAACAACTGAGCCCATGAAAACAACTAGTTTGAAAAGCAGAACCCAATCTCCCAAACAAGCCCTTATTCTTTCAGACAACATGCAGGCAAGGTAGTTCAGCGCTTTCCATCACAAAAATTTGAAGAGCACTCACAGATACCCGCCATCCTCTGCTCCGCTCATCCAAATCCCTCTTTTTAAGCATACAGCACCCAAATTCAGCATTTCTTAAGATATTTCACTTTTTATTTCTCCTTCCATTTCAGAGCTGCTAAGCTAGAGTATCCCCCCTAAAAACCTCCTAAAACATAACAATTACTACTTTAAAAAAAAAAAAGGCATTAAAATAGCTTTGGAGCTATCATTAACCCTGGGAAATACTAATTACTTGGAAAAGTCTGTGTATTATCCAGAAATGACTCATCTCTCACACTTTCTGGAATTATAATTTAAGTCTTCATCTCCAGCTAGCTGCCAGCTCAGTCAAGATTATGTCCCATCTGTTCAGAGCACACCCCCACTCTCAAAAAGCTTTTTGTCCTCGCGGGGAGGGCAACGGCACCACAGATAAATCATGGCAATGAGCTATTTTTTTTTCTGATTACAGCTTCAGAAAACGCATCAGGTGTTTACACATTGGTTTTCCTGGCACTGTTTGTGTTGTGTTCAACATCTGTGGTCAACTGTCCCAGACCCCAAAACCAGAGCATCAGGACACACCGGGATTTTTCACACAGCAACCCTTCTGGTATCTTGTGAAGAGGTAACCAGAGAGCTCTCCTTCCTGTCTTGTGAAAACTACAAATGCAGATTTTTCAAGCAGTTCAGATTTTCTAAGTTATTATGTGGAATGCTCCTAGCATCTGAAAATCATGCATTCATCAACACAAATAATTTTCTATTGCACAAGTAGATAAAAATCTCTGATGCAGATATGCTTCATACCAATAGATTACGTTTCAACTATCTAAAAATACTTTAAATTAAAGTCCCCTGCAGAGAAAAGAATTTGTTGGGATTTTTGTATCTCAGCTTTGGTAGATAATCCTGAACATGTATTTCAAGAACTTAAACAAATCATTCCTCAGAGGCTTCTCCTCCCCCCTTTCTCTCTTTCAGCAGAAGAGAAAGAGAAGGGAAGATGTGGTTTGACATATTATTTACATATTTTATTGCAGTCCCAAAGGAGACAAACCAAAAGACCACCAAAATTCAGCAAGTATGTATGGCACGAACCACTGCAGACTTGAGCACGTACGTGCCGAAGCATTCAGTACTTGCTGGAGTCAGAAGTCACAGAATAACTCCAGGCATCTGACTTCTTTTCATAATCTGCAAGGCATCTCTCAAAATACATGAATAAAGAGGAAAAAAAAAAAAGTCTCAGCTGCTCTCAGCAGCAGAAGAAAAGAAAGGCTTGAAGTTGTCTTGTGTTTTTCTACCCTGTTCTCAGTTCAGGCACCAGAAAGTAGAGCCCAGTATGAAATGAGCAGTGGTAAAGTTGCTTGCAAAAAATATGCAGGAGCAACAAGTAGGCAGCAGAAAGCACAACTCTCAGCAGGAGATATAAAAAGCTTAACATGCTCCCACATATCTTTGCAACAACTTTTCCACTTGCTTATTAATAAATTCCCAACACCGACAATGCCAGGGAGCCCGAAGTTGAAATCCAATTGTCTCGCTCCGATTTCAGATCATCTTCGGGAGGTGGAGTGTCATCCCCCTCTCACCCTGGCTGCCATGCAGTAGCGCTCGGTATGGGATTTCTGCATAACAAGAGTTATTTATAAGCTTTTATTGATACACGATGTTGAATATCGCTCCATCTCTTCTACCTAGAGGATTAAAGTTCAGTAGAAGGAACTCCTTACCTGTCATATGGAAACTCAGAAACGCACACAAATTAAGTTCAGAGTGGTCCTAAATTCAATTCCCGTTTTGTTTTTGCTTTTTTCTACAGGAAACCTGCAGTTCTCTTGTCTGGGTGAACCTACTCAAACTCCCAACCCTCTTCCCAAGATAACAACTCAGATGCTACACATACAAAACCACTCACGAAAGAACTTCATTGTCTCATAAATAAAGGAGTTTTATGTTAAACAAAGGTGCTTATGGCCATCCCCTCTCTCTGGGCGAGCGGTTTTTCCTGCACACAAACACTGTTGGAATGTATATAGTTAGACCAGAACAAGCAGCACACAGCAGGGCCCTGGTAACCAACAGATTTATTTCATTTCGTTTAAGTGCAGTCACCTACGCCCAGTTCCGTGGCAGAGAGGAGTTACTGGGTTCACTGCTCAGAGGCTGTCTGGAGCTGTGTCCCCACAGGACGTGGAGGAGTTACCGACGAAGGAAAGGTCAGGGATCCAAAGTCAAGATTGCAAAAAGCTGCACATACAACCCTAATCTGAACGTAATAACTGGTTATCTTTGCCGCAGCTAGATTCCTTCATCTAATGTCACGGGGACATGCCATAGCAGCTCAGCAAGCATAAGGTCCAATCTTTTCAGTGCTGCCAGAGATTACTCCACAGTTCATCTGGGGGGAAGAGGGCACAAACCCCACCACTGATCTTCCCAAAATAGCCTTTCCATGCTCTCTCTGTACTCTGTGGGTCTACTTTACCTCTTCCTGTTTTTGTAAACTCCATTTCCTACTTTTTATGCAGTTGAAACTCAACTGTGGTGATTCTCCTCACCTCTGGTGTCTTCTGCTGTCAGGCACTGATGCACAAAGGCAAATTCATCACAGAGGTTTTCCTCCACACCTGGCAGTAGCAAAAGTGCATTTGCAAATGCCTGCTGGTCAACAGAGCACTTCCACATTGAATGGCCACCTCCTTAGCTTTGGATGTGCCCCAGCACACACACGTTCTGCTGAGGTCCACGATCTCCACTGCACTTGATTTCTGTCAGGGCTACACAAAGCTCATTCATCCTGCGGGTAACAGAGCTGGCAGCCAAGCATTTTGTTTGAAGCTCCACTGCTGCTCTCTGTCAAAGCTCCCAATATTGCAGAGTTTTTTCAAGAACAACAACAACAAAATAATCAAGTGTTGCTCTTCCTTTAAACCAGCTACATCCATTCCTACAGGCTACTTCTCTGCTGCTGGTGGAGACCTGCCAAAATTCAGCCCCATGCTGCACAGTGCTAGTTAATTCCCAATGTAAACTAGGGACATGTTGAATTACCATATCTCAGCTAGACCACACATTTTAAGATCCTACTCTAAGTAGGGAAAATTGATTTACAGTTTGGAGGGGACACTAGTGAGCTCCGTGACACACATAAAATTAGGAGGGAAGGAAGAAGATAGCTCTGGTAGAGCTATGTGGGTTAGTGCCAAATATGAAAGCGTGAAGGCAAATCTGAGCCAAGAAAGCGTTACGTACTGCCGCAGTCCTTGCTGCATTTATTTTTACAAAATTTAGACAGTGACTTTGGATGCCGCCTCACCACTGTCTTGGGAAAACAAGTCTATCAAGGGACAGCACAAGCCAAAGATCGAGCTGTGTTAACGGAGCACAGCTTCTAGTTTCAGTGCCTTTGCCTTTAAATAAACTCGAGCGCATCCTTTTGCTTCTGTATGTTCCAGAAGCTCTGTCTCCCAATGTGAATAAGAAAGAGCAGAAGAAAAATAGTTGCTATTTTAAATACACATCAGAAATATCTCCATCTTCTCTTGAAGAGACAATCTTCCAATTGTCCTCCAAAAATACCTTTTCTTTCTGACTCCTAACATGTTATACAAAGTTAAGCTACCAGAGCTTTGTTCCATTCAAAACAGTAACAAAGGATGACAAGCAGTGCTCTTCAACAAGGCAACTACCAAAAAATATGTTTGGTATGATACGGCAAGGTGATGGGATCCAACCTCTGGAGATCCAGTAGCAGATTCCAGCTTGAACGCCTCACCTCAGACCACATCCTGTCACTTTTTTCCTTCTTACACACCCATACAGCATCTGTGTCCTGCTTTGATGGCCTAATCAGACAAATGGGCATCCAGCCCACCCCTCCTGCATTGTCCAGACCAAAGCAGCAGCTCTGGGGCCATATGCATCAGGTTCAGCTACTTGCAAAACGTTTGCCATGTGAACAGCCATGCCTCATCTACCCTGGGCCATGAGGGCGCTCCCAAAGAACAAACCTAGCCAGAGGACTGCCAACTGGAATGTGTTCTTAGTGGGAAAGAAGCAAACAAAACAAAACCAAAAAGGAAAAAAAAAAACCTACAGAGCTTGCAGCTGCCAAAAATCAGGCTTCCTAAGATTTTTCCAGGAGGTTTGGATTAATAGATAAAATTAGAACAGTACCATTTGGTGCAGTAGGTGGTGACCAGACACCGAAGTATTTTGGCAGATACTCCCGCAGCTCCAGAAGAATGCTGTCGCAACAGTCAGAGTCATAAACCTGAAATAAATTAAGGGGAGGGGGAGACAAATAATGAGTTTAAAACATTCACTTTATACTTCCTGTTGTCCCATAATTATCATTTCTAGCAGTGTTTATTTTCATAAATTTAGGATTCCTACTTCACGTTTAAAAACATAGAAGATGAGAATACGAATTATCACAATCTGAGACAAGTGAGTGGTATCCATGCTTTCAATTTTTCAGGTGGAAAAGATATATCAACTCTAACTAAGAAGAATGTATGGCTTAACTTCAATAAAAATCTTAACTGCAATTGTTAGCGTTGAAGTCTATTCAGTGAAAAGGGGGTCCTCCCATCCTGAACCCAAGGCTGTTTGGGATTACTCCACTGTATCACAAATCTAAAGCTTTATCAGGTAGCGCACACAAACTCAGACTGGCGAGCGTTTCCTTATTTCCTCCAAACAACTCATCCTGTAACTACTCCAGACAAACAATGAACAATTCAAATGCATGCGTCTTCATCTGCTTAAAGTCTTTTAACATTTTTTTTTCCCCAACTCCTGTTAGGAAAACAAGAACAGTTTGCAAACAGCAGCGGGCTTATGCTGCTGAAGGAACAAACCTTCACGCAGTTACAGCCAAGCCTGGGATAGTATAAGCCCTTGCAGCTACCTTTGCTCTGATGCCCCAGGCTCGTGTCCTGCCCCAGTCCTGCAGGAGCTGCACAGCAATACCCCCAGACACCGCACACGGGTGACAGGGACAAGCCACAGCTCTGCTCTCCCCTCAGTGTGCAACACACAGCAATGCAGGCAGAGCACGCTGCGAAGTCAGAAGCAATGCAAAAGGAATAAATTTCCCATCTCAGAGCTCTGCAGAGCTGGCTCAGCTCCTGGCTTCGAGACTGACACTCAGCCACAGTGGCGAACACCCTGCAACAGGAGCTACAGGCAGCTCACACGTCGGCATACACAACCCTACATTTCTAACATTAATACCTCTAGAGAGGAAAAAGCCCTGAACTTGAAGTCCAGCTGCTATTTCACACCAGGCAGCCTCGGCTACAGCCACCGCTGCGGTGTGACTCTAGGCAGAGCCTCAAGCAGCAGGAAGATGAAGTTGGTCAGTGTGGGTTTGTGCTAAATTTAGTTTTCATTGCAGAAATCTTACACGGGCCAAACTCAAATCTCCAAGGGCTACAGGTAACTGTGGCTTTCCCCCTGTTAAGGCAAGCTGCTAGGCTGATACTTAGCGTGCAGAGACAAAAAAAGAAAAACAACTTTGCTCGTCCCTGGGATCAGCTGCTGCTGTTTATTTTTATTGATGCAACATTGCTTTGATAAGCATCAGATGTTGCCAGCAGAAGACAGTGATCTCCCCGGGAGACTGCGATGCAGCTTGCTCTGAAAGGAGAAAATGAAGGAAGGAAGGGAAAAAAACATGCAGGTGGAGGGGAAGAGAGAAAGACCTGATGCTGGGGCAAAGACCCTCCCTTTGGAGGGTCCCACTGACCGGTGCCACTGCTGGGCCAGGACTGGAGCACAGGCTGCCAGGATGACTTCCCACCGTGGCTGTTTGCAGACGAGCAGCACAAAGCCCATTTCTGCCTGCTGCTGTGGCACCCCTCAGCTAACCGGCAGGGAATTAGGCTGCACCCTGCACGAATACTCTTCCTCTGGGAACTAACTTACTGGCAAAACAGGATTTTAGGAAAGACAGAGAAAGGAGCAGTATGGGGAGACCATTAAAAAGGAAAAACTCTTGTGACTCACCTTTGAAACCCTGACAGTAGGTACCAGTGCTAAAGACTTAGCAAATAACTAACAGTGTGCTTCTGGGTATTTCAAGGCGTGGGATACAACAGAGGTGTTCAGGTAATTGGGTGTAATAGCCCAAAGTCAAGGCCAAACAAGGAAAAAAAACCTCCAGAAGAGGTATCTTCTACATAGCCCATCCTTAATACACTGATACAAGGCATTTTAAATGGAGAAAGAGTCACAGTAATGTAGTGTTCGGTATCATTACCTCAGCATAACAGAATTAAGTGCATTACTTCTGTCTCTCCAGAAGTCATCTTGCTCCCTGAAGCAGTAATAAACTCCCTTTTAAAGTTTGACGTAACACATACAAAGCACTTATTTGACCTTAATACAGACCTCAATCTCAGCCTGTAATGTATTTGTATGTCAAACAAGAATAAGCACTCAGATAATGAAGATCAGAGGAAGTCATTTGGTGTGGGCAAAAGCAACAAAAACGGACATTTCAGGAATTACAATCATTCTTAGACAGGAGAAAACCGCTCCTGCTCATTAGAAAGGGGCTAAACCAGCAACAACGGGCATTTCAGCTTGTTTCATCCAACCCACTAAGAAGCTACATGTTTAGGTGTCATTCAGAGTGATCAATATAAATGGGTATATGACAAAAACAACCCTAAATTTACAGAAGAAATAAACCACACATCCCATACCCTGGAAGGTATTGCTGCTGACAGAGCTGGCAAACTCACTGGAGAAGAGGTTATCACTTACCCTGGCACAACCTTTAGAAGTAAACCATTGTGCTTTCATTTATGTTAGCAATACTCCACCTTTATCGGAAAAGCAGCTGCTGGGTTTTGCACGTAATGACAGGCCTGTTTCTTGAGCACACACTGAAAAACCTAAGCTCTTTCTGCTTTACTGTACATGACCTCTTCGTCCAGCAAATCGAGAATTGCAGAACAAGTCGGCGTCAGCTCAGCCGGGGTAGGTATCCCTCCTACACATCACAGGACGCATTCTTCCAACAGCACAAACTGGAGACATGAAATGCAGTTGCTGCTGGGCTTAAAAGCAAGTAAACAGGATGCTGACATTTGGAGGGCTCACAACATGTCCATTACAAAGTACTGCAGCTAACTCATAGGAAGAACATGCCCCAGATATGTTCTGTGGCAGCTCGATAGTCTAATAGACACCATGAAGTCATAATTTCCAGCTACTCAGAATGTTTTAATTCTGAGGCAAATTCACCCTCCCTTAGTTTTTAATCCAAAGTACACTCTGTTTGTTTTGCTAAGTCTGATCCAAACAGATTCATCTGTTTTTTAATGCAAACAGGGGGGCTGCTTGGAAGAATGGGAATGTTCTTTTCCATATTTAAAGCAGCATGACATTCGCTCTCCTTTGTTTTGTAAAGACTAGCTAATCACAGAAATGACTGAGGGAGGGCAGAGCAAATGTTTAAATTTCAACAGGAAACTAGTTCTGGCAGTACAGACCCATCTTCAAGTGTCCTGGTGGAAAGACACCGCTTTGATGAAAATGTAGCTTCAACGCAATTTCTTCAAGTACGTAAAAAAGCTGATTTGGAAAACATAGATTTTAAAACATGCATTTATTTAAAAGCAATTTGAGTAGGAAACTAGAAATGCTGGGCCAGTCCCAACCATCCCCTTTTCTTGTTACCATAAGCTGTCCCTGAGCAGTGGTGCTGTCGCTTGCAGAGCCTCGGGGTACACAAGCAGCCGCCAGCAGCAGGCGCAGAGCTCAGCTCCCAGCTTATTTCTTAGGGGGTTCCTGGGTGGCAAACAGCTGAGAAGCCACACACTCCAATTAGCAAATACAAGATTTACAGATGATAGTGCAACCTTAACTCTGTCTCCCTGCGTGTACGCATTATATCACAGACTTTAATTACCTGAGTGTGTGAGCATTTCCCTCCGGACTCCTACACCGCCCAGTTATACCAGGCAAGTACGAGGGCCAAAAAAGCTGAGGTTCTAGCAGCAGCTCTGCACTGAGCAATTCATAACTGCACAGCTTTACAACTCGGAAAGCTTTTGCTTCTTTTTCAAAGTAGTACCATCATGTTTTGACTTGTCTGCAGTATTTCTTTCCACAAATATGACTGGAGTTGGGCCAGCTCTGTTTATATCCAAAAAAAAATCTGATACCAGAGTAATTCAGAAAGTTAAATATTTACGAATGCTGTTGTACTAAATGCTATTGTAATGAATTGCTATTTTCCTATCCAAAATATAGCTGCACTATGCATTAGATGATAGTCACTCATAGAAAATACCTACAGAAAGACTAGAAAAGCTTAAAACAATTCAGGATATATTTATGTTTCCACAGTCTGATCATGCAGATGAATTTTCAAATAAGAATGGCGTACACCTGCACCAACTCTGTCCTCCTCCCAGGAGTCAGGGGAAAAAAAAAAAAGTTACAGAAAGGAGCTGGCCATCTTAGCTTCCAAAAAATCAAGGCTGTGAAAGTAAGCTTTGACATCTCCCCAAGAGATACTTATTTGGCGATGTTTATCAAACCAGACATTTTCTAGCAATGCCAAAAAAAGAGCAGGTCCTATTTTATCCGCTTCCACATGTTTTATATAGTCAAAATTGGGCTGACCCTAGCGAGATTTGCAGCCTGAGGCATGGAATTATCCTCACAAGAGGAGAAGCAAACCCTGACCCATTTCTGAGGATGTGGCAGAGCTTCAGACCTTCAGCAGCAGCAGCCAGAAGGCAGCAGTCGGGCACAACCACCAGCAGCAGCGCCCAACAAACCCCATGCAGGGCTGTGAGCAAAGAGCAGCGGATGCCACAAGCAGCAAGTTCTCCAAAACAGCCAGAGATAAGCTGGGTAGGGACAGATCGTCTAGACCCCCTTCCTTTCCCACAGCCACGTACTTCAGAAGCAAGGCAGGAAATATTTGGAAGACGCAAGCAGGCACTCCACCCCACCCCATCACAAGCACCAAAGGGCTGCTTCCCTCTTCACGAGACAGCAAACTCCCATCTCATCTTTCATCCCACAAGACTCCCAGGCAACAAAAAAATAACAAGAAAACAAGTTTAAGTTATTTGCTTTACCCCCACACAGACCCTGCAGCTGCTGGAAGCCACCCAGCTGGGCACAGAGCAGGGTGGTGGGCATCAGGAAGTTCTCAGTCCAAATCACAAAGTAGGGATGATGTTTCATCACAAACCTCTTGCCACAGAACTGAGCTTCCTCCTGCCCTTCCGCCTCTCCTAGGTT